AAGTTTTGCTTAAATCTTCTGACTCCATAAGAGTTAATTAAAGATTGATTGTTATAATCAATTTTATTTCTAAATCTAAATCTCTTTATTTGCCACAAAATAAATCAATAATTAAATAATGTACAAACAAGAAAAGAATACAAAGGAATTAAGTAAATAAATATTGAAGTGGCGAGGAGGCATCCAGAAACCTAAAGGCTTGTACAAAGGATGACTCCTCTTAATATAGATTATTGAACGGACAGCATAGATAGAAACTGTAGTAAAAATGAGAAGTAAAATCTGAGATTACTCATTGAAAATCCGGTAATAGAACGATTAGGACTGCAATAAGTGATCAAGCATTCCAATCCTAAAGCAATTGTAAGACTCTGTATTTTTTATGTCGTCAGGCAGAGAATTCCAAATTTTAGGACCCTGAAAAAGAACCGTAAACTGTTTAACATTAGTGTTACATGCATAGGAACATTTCTGGTATTATAGTTATGTATTCGGTGAGAAGTAACAAATAAGTTTTGGAATGATGGTGGAGAAATTTACGTTCACTAAACAGCGTTGCAGTATGCACACAAAATTCAGAGTTAGTCAAAATTTGGACAATTTGCTTTTGCAAGAGAAATATTCATTTTAAATTAGTTTTGTAGGTGGAAGACCAGGTAGTGTTGCAATATGTCAAATAGGGATAGATCAATATAAGGATAATATTTTTTGGATTTTTTAGACAGATAACTTGGATATATTGACTTGGGGATCTTTTACATACACGACTAATGAGTAATGTGAGATTTCCATGTAAGGTTTTCATCAATATGAACTCCAAGAAACTTGTCAGTTTTCTTTTGCATTAATGATTTTCTGTCAAAAATAATGGGTGTATCAGTATAAAGCTTTTTATTCCTTGATTTGAAAATGATATAGTTTTGGTTATGTTGACTGAGAGTTTATTTGTTTTCATCCAATGGTCAACATTTCTTAAACAAGCCGCGGCTTTAACAAGTCACAATAACTGGTATAAAGAGTCAAGTTATTTTAGTCAACAGACAATTTGAGGGTTTAAGGCACAAATATTTTGCGACTTATTCTCGTTTGCATTATTATAAGTGATGCTAATATTCGATTATTATGTAAATGCAACTACGAATTTGAATTCGAATTTGACTACAAATTTGAATACGATTTTGCAAGTCATTAAGAAAGATTTACTAGCACTTTACGAATACAATAAGCAACTTACCTGGAAATACACTAACTTTTGTCTTCTAAAGGAAAATCACCAGGAAAATAAGAGTTTTATTGTCAGAAATCTCAGGAAAATTTTTAAGATGTTACTGACATGTTTTTGTAATGACACACATGCTTGTAAAAGGATGCCAACAGGTTGTCACAGCAACTTGAGATAAGTGTGGGCAGAAAGTCTGCTCGCAGGCATGCAAGCGATATCTCGGGTGCACAATTTTGATATTTTCAATATATTTACTATTAAATTTTCGAAATCTCGATTCCCGATAACTGCTGATGGCTTTCTTTAAATTCATATCTTTCCTCATTCGCAGCATCATCAACAACAGACAATACGTAAATATAAAAATAAATACCACGAACATGCAATGCCAAATGAATGGCGAAGTCACGATCATAACTGTACACATACAAAATTTTCAACCTCGAAATGACACCGCCGGAATTGCTCGTAAATTTACAATTTTCCCACCAAAATGACCGCAAAGGGCCAGTCTTTTTTTAATCTACGCGTATATTTTAACATTGCGCATAGCAAAATGGTGTTATGACGCTTTAAACATGGAGCGCTGGCCTATTTCGTGAAATTGTAATATAGTAAATTATGCAAGTCACCCAACTTTTGTATATCTTCCAGAACAAGTGTCCACAATATAAAGCAAGAAACGAGAGATTTAAGGGAAAAAACACATGTTTTTATCACACAATTGTATTATGAAATCCCAGCATATGATACCTGACACTTGTTGACCTTTTGTTAGTACATGTTTTGTCATGGTATTCTTTTTTGAAAGTTGAGTGGAAATATAATTTGGACGAGTGTTCAATTTGGGTGTCTTGAAAACTAAGACCTCTAAAGATAAGACCCCTAAGACCCTAAGACCCACAAAACTTGAAAACTAAGACCCCTAATTTTATTAAAATACAATTACACATTCAGTAAAGCTTTTGTTTATATATAAGCTAATTAACTCTTTTCGTTTGGTGCTGAAATAACCAGGTCGAAACCGACCTGGTATTTTGCAGGTTCATATCTTTGGTTCAGTGCATGCAATATAGATGAAAATAACACCATTCGATTCAGTGAAAAAATTCGTATTGATAGATATAATAAAATGTCAACATTATAGCGATTTACGACCTTCAGAGGGCAAGCGGTGTCATATTTCACTAGATTACACAATATTCCCGAAAAATGTAAGAATGTAATAAAATGTATCACAAAGGCATACTTTTCGCCGAACATAACTTCGGCCCCTTTCAAGATATCTTTTTCATAATAGTCTTGTTCGAATAACAATCCAAAACACTATTTAGAGTGTTATTGTCAAGCTGAAAATATACGTTTTTTCTTGTATCAACAGATTTGCATTTTTTATTTCGCAATTTCAAAATATCTAAATTTTACGAGAGTGACAGCGGTTCAACCGGAAATACACTTAATTCCCGCTTTTTATAACTTATTATCACAAATTAATAGTTCCAAAATCAGATGAATTCTGATCATACGAGATGGATGATATTACATGTCTGTGCACTGGCTAGTTATATATTTATTATTTTGTCAAGATTATATTCTCGGCTGTATCTGAACTCTCATCTGTTCAAAAAAGATTCCCAAATATTATACGTCAAAATTTCAGTTAAGTTTGTATTTTAATAAAATTCGGGGTCTTAGTTTTCAAGACACCCGTTCAATTTGGTGTTTCCAGAATGTAATGTAACATTGTTTAACACTGTCAATAATAGAATTTAATGATTGAGCAGATATTTATTCTAAATCTACTATTTGTGTGTTGTATTTGTAGTGTTTCATGATATCCACAGCGTTTTTATAAAAGGACGTCTTATTATTTGAGTATAGGTCTTTTGGTATCAAGAAAGCTTGTTTTGCAATTGCTGTTTTGTGTAATGAAGTTAAGTGTGTTATTTAGTTGAATAGTCGTTTGTATATATTAATTTGTGAAGGGAATTTTTCTAGTTCACCTCTCATAGCCATATTGCATGCTTTTTTCTCCACACTTGGGTATGATTTACAGAACCATAGGTGGGCCTCTCAATTGGTGACTTATCCCATTTGTTGAAATAATTTTTGAGATAAGCACCCCATACCTCTGAGTTGTATAGGACTATGGGTGATATTATGCTTTCAACTATCTTGATAGCTAGTTTAAGATAATTATCACTTATTTACTGAGACCGAGGGAAACAGTGTGTTTTGTGGACCCGAGATCGTCAATGTTTCCCGAGGCGAAGCCGAGAGAAACATCGAGGGTCCACAAAAACACACTGCTTTCCCGAGGTCTCAGTAAATAAGTGTTTTATTATATATCAATAGTCAAAGAAACAACAAATTAAAGAACAAATGAACGTAAATACATGAAATATTTTATTGTTAAAACGTTATATTAAACACTGGCTACACTGCAGTTACTTAAAGCGAAAGTTTTAATTACGTACAGAACGTACTAGGCATGTCCAAAGGTCGCATCTTCACATGATGGCGCACATGATTTTTTTTGTTATTCACCGGTCGATAACGTATTATCTCCCTCTCGCGCTGTTGCGAGGGAGACAGCCTAATTTCGTCACTCTCACGTGATATGCTCTCAACCAATAAAACACTAGAAAAATGCGACTTTGACTATTTGATATATAATAATGTAGGTTAAGGTGTCTTTGCATGCTACTTAATGCATGTAGTACTTTTTCGCTCAGTTGTTTTTGGGACAGTGTGAAATTTCCATTTGAAGTTAGATTAACACCCAAGTGGCAATATTCATTTTATTAATACTATTTTGACATTTTTGGTATTTAAGGTGGCTCCCTAGGGTTTTATCCCTGGGGGTTACGTTCTTCCTATATATGGCGGGAAATTTAAAATAGCTGTGTGGTCCTCGCGAGATTTAAAAACCAAAATATAAACATGGCGTCTTTTGCAAGAAAATGTTTTCGCCAAACAAACACGTCAATTTTTTTACAAAACAAAATGTTAAAATGCTATTTAAAACGGCAACAATTTTCGTGGTCGAAATAAAAGAAAAGAAAAGTAATAATTTTTGGAATAACTATAGTTTCCTCGATGTTTTCGGCCGCCGTACCGAGTCACATCGCGGCAATTGGTGGTGCAAGTTTCCCCACATATTTTCGGTGTTTGGAGCCCTATATATTTGTACTTCTGACCACGCTGAATGTATGGAAAACGAAGGGTCAATGTCTAAAACCAGTATTGCAGAGTCTCCTCAAACAAACCGTCATAATAAACGGACTTCAACCGGGCGCTTTGTGAAATTAATATGCAAAGGTGGGCACAAGGAAAAAAATTCACATCCTATGAACACTGCTTTAGCTGTAAAGAGGAGGCTTGTTTTTGACAAATGTGACGAAAATGAACCCCCTTCAAAACGAAAAACAAGGAGTGAAAAGGTACAGTACAAAGTAATATATTTCATTTGTTTATATTCCTTGACTAGTATCAAGTGTAAACAAGCAATATGTCAATATTACTATTTATTTCAATATACTTACACATTCTAGGATGCTGTTTCTGAAGAAGAAGCAGTTGTGCATGGAAGCAGAATTATAGATCTTGGACACTTCAATAAATATTTTGAAAATTGCAGCAATTGCCACTTGAAATAACCTATCCTAACTCGTCTCCAATACTTGTAGCTACAATTTATAGACCACCTAAATCACCTGTGTTGTGGTATGAACATTTTATCGACATATGTGAGAATGCATATTGGTAAGGAAAAGAAATGATCATTACGGGTGACATTAGCATTGATTTCCTTAAACCTAATTCAATTCCTAAACAATGGGTAGATATTATGGAATCGTACAACCTCACTCAACTCATAAAGGTTCCAACTAGAGTTACCAATTCGTCAAAGACATGCATCGATCATATCTATGTTACTAACCCAGAGGATGTACGGGCAACTAAAGTGGCAACAATAAGTATTTCCGACCATTTTCCGGTTTGTTACTCACGATCACACAACTCAGCGACAAGAACACATAAACATTCCTCAATCAAATATAGATCATATAAGAATTTTAATCAATCAGCTTTTCTTGAAGACCTAACCCTGGTGCCATGGAACGTATGCAAATCTTTTGATGACCCAAACGATGCCTTGGACTGCTGGGAGAAACTTTTCCTGGAAGTAGTTGAAAAACATGCACCTCTGAAGGAAAGACGTGTTAAGAAACCTAAACAACCGGAATGGCTTACAGAAGAAATGCTTAAAGCTATGAACGCTAGGGACAAATTTGCCCAACTAAACGATGATCGAAATAGAAAATTATGGAGAAATAAAGCAAACAATCTTGTGAGAAATGGTAAAACTACGTATTACAAACAACTTATTGAAAGTAATATTGGCAATAGTAAGAAGCTATGGAATCTCATTAGAGACCTAGCCCCTGAGGAATCGAAAACTACTCCAACAACATTGAAGGATGGCGATGTAACACTTTCCAACCCACAAGATATACGTGATAGTTTTAATGAATTCTTCGCACAAATCGAAAATGCGATTGCTGCTAGTCTTCCCAATTCCCGAAACAATACAAGCGATGTGCTTGCAGACTTCATAAATAAACATCTTGCTACAAAAACTACGAATGTATAAATGTAGTACAAATTCTGTAAATTGGTTTTCATCGTACCATCTCGAACTCATTAATAATTCATGAGCAAATTAGCGAATGAACTCACCCTAATTCGTCACATGATTGAGGTTGGATACCGCAAGGAAACACGCTAAAAAATCATATACCATCACTGTTGTTAGATGAAAAACGGTTTTCATCTAATAACTGAGATCCTAATTACAAATTCAAGTCAAAACACAACAATATACTATAATAATATATATAAGCCAATGAAATGTTTTTGTTTGAGATGTTGTGTAAACAACTCGTTTCTCGTGTTTCATCAGGGGATCCAAACACTCGAAAACAATAAAACACTTGCGCTTCGCGCTCGTGTTTCATACAGTTTTCTCGTGTTTGGATCCCCTGATGAAACACTCAAACTCGTTGTCTACATATAACTACAAAACAGATATCAAAGTACATCTGTTAATGGTAAAATATCTTCCAAACTACCTATGCCGAAAGGGGTTCCTCAGGGATCTATTCTGGGCCCCTTGCTTTTTATTGTCTTTATTAACGATCTGCCACTGTCTATCCCACATGGTGACATAGATATGTATGCGGATGTTTCTACCATTACGACATCTGCGAAAACCATAAACCAACTCAATGAAAACTTAAATCAAGCTATGGATGAGGTCTCAAAATTGGTGTAATGACAACAAAATTATGCCAAATACAGACAAAACGAAGTGTATGCTCATAACATCGTGGCAAAAACGGCTTCACATACCACAAAATGAAGATCTGTGTGTAAGCCTTTACGATATAGCACTGGAAAACGTTACTTCAAAACTGTTACTTGGTGTCACTATGAATCATAATCTGTCCTGGGAGGATCATATAAACACCACTGTTTCAAAGATAAATAGGAGTATAGCTCTACTTCGTAGAATTAAACGATATTTACCGCTACAGACACGGAAACTGTTCTTTAATGCGCACATTCTTCCACACATGGATTATTGTTCCATTGTTTGGGGTGGTTCACCTCATGTTAAGAAGATCAATTTAGCTCAAAAAAGAACAGCCAGGGTAATTTTAGACATCACAGATAATCGTTACACCAGTAAAGACATGTTTTTAACATTAAACTGGATGCCTATTGAGGATCGTATTAAGTACCGTAAAGCTATTATGGTCTATAAAAGTCTCAATTATTTATGTCCGGATTATATGACAAATATGTTTAGGTTTGTCAGACAAGTTCATACAAAGACAACCCGATCAAGCTCTGCAAATGATCTGTATTTGCCTTCAGGAAAACATAAACAGATATATACAAATTCGTTTGGATACAGTAGTGTAAAGATATGGAACACATTAAGTTCAAACATTAGAGAAAGTGTATCTCTAAATGACTTTAAGAGGAAATTTTTAACAAATTATTTTTTAACTAGTAACTGATAATATTTCACTCTATTGTAAATAACTTCAACTCATATTTTTAACTAAAATAGCGAGGGCCCTGAGGAAGATAAGTCTTTTGACTTACCAGGTATATTAGCTATGTAATACTTTTAACCTTCTGTAAATAAAGTTTATTGATTGATTGATTTTGATTGATTACTATTAAGACTTAGGGTACAGTGAACACACAAAGATAAAGTTTTGCTGCATATTACATATTACATATTTTAATAGACTATTTTAATCACTGAGTAAGTGTGGAAAATAAAACCTCACATGCTCATGTAATGTAGACTTTTCTACATATTTAACTAGAGACATTGTCAGATTTTTTGGTTAACCCATTAAGCTGCAGAGCATCCCCATCGATTAGTGAAATTGTCTGGTATTAGACAAGTAAAAAAATAAGTAGGGCGCACTGCGGCTCAATGGGCTAACAGAATAAACCATGCCCTAGCTGATAAACTATTAGCTATAGTACTGTATATATAACCTATATTCATTTAGGTCCCTTGCCCTTCAGTGTTTGTGATGAACAGAGACATGGCCTAGCCAGTACGTTTTATATCAGCTGTCCCTTTTGTGGTCATTTGAACAAGGCTGAAACTTCAAAATAACACAGTTCTGGTAATCGAGGTCCAAAGGCATTTGACATTAACACACAAGTAACTCTTGGTTGCCTCCATGCTGGTATTGGGCAAAGTCATATGAACAATATTTTATCTTGCATGAACATACCTACAATAAATTCAAATACTTTTAAACATAGAGAAAGAGAAGTTGGGAAGGCTGTTGAAGCAATCGCTAAAAAAAGTTGTGAGGAAGCAACAAATTTAGTACGAACTGAGATTATGACCAATACAGCCGAATGCAGTGAGGATAATTTAGTCTCTGTCCCTTGTTCATTTGATATGGGCTGGCAGAAGAGAGGGAAAGGCCACAATTCTTTGACTGGACAAGCCGCTGTTATGAGTTTGACAACAGGAGAAGTGTTAGACTACATAACAAGAGTAAAAGTCTGCCGTTTTTGTGATTATGCTAAAAGAAACGATGCCCCCTGTAAAAGCTCATGCCTGTCGCAAAAATCATACAGACTCCTCAAAGGAAATGGAACCTTCAGCTGCAGTAGAATTGTTTAATAATGGTCCTAAATATAATGTAAAATACTCAACATATACTGGAGATGATGACTCCACAACAGAAGCCCACATTCGCCAAAAAGTTGGATACAAGGTTGAAAAACTAAGCGACATCATACATACGAAAAGATCATTAACTACACACCTATATAACTTAAAACAAAATGTAAGATTTCCAAACAGTTCCACCTTATCACAAAAGGTCATTAATTATTTGGTCAAATGCTTTTCCTATGCTATAGCTCAAAACAAAGGCAATCCAGAAGAAATAAAAAAAACAATTGAATGCATTGTCCCTCATGCTTTTGGAGACCATACAAAGTGCAACATTAGTTGGTGTGGATACAAAAGCGACCTAATCAATTACAAACATAAAACTTTTCCACATGGTAAAGATCTGTTTGGTGAAAGCCTTAAGAAAGCACTTAATAATCTATTCAATGACTACTGCACTGAAACTGTGGTTAACAAGGTTCAAATTCACAAAGGAATGAAACCCTTAACAGTGTAGTTGGATAAAAAAATCCAAAAATGAGATTTTATGGTGGTAGTGACAGCAACTATTTCCGGGTTTGCATGTGCTGTTGCTCAAAGAAACCTCTGATATGCTTATGTTGACAGAACATTGGAGGCACTCAATATTGAACCTGGGACATTTTGCACAAATTACAAGAAAAGGATGACTACAAAAATAAATAAAGATAAAGACCGAAAATCGACCATGCAATTTAAAAGACAACGTATTCAAAAGCACTTGAGCAGCTCTGCCCAAACTGCCAGAAAAGAAGCAAAGGAGGGTACAACCTACCAAACTGGGGTTGGATTAAATCTAAACACTGACACAAACTCGACTAAGACGAATTTGGGAAAGGGCATACCAGAGCCAGAAATTCAAGTGAATGATGAAGCAATGTCGTCAGAACAATTTAAAGAAATTGAGAACATTGTGCCCCCTTATACCCCTAGACCACAAGTAAAAAAAATCCAATTTGACGAGAACCATTACTACAACTTTTTGGTATTTGACACAGAAACAAATTCAACTGGTAAGCTTGCCGAAATATGTCAATTTATCAGTATGTGACATGTCTGGTTCACATATGTTTTCAGAATATGTACTGCCAACACATGACATCGATTTTTATGCTTCAAGAGTAAATAATCTTGAAATAAGAACTATCGAAGGGGTACGAAAACTCTTTAAAAATGAAATATCATTACCTTCCATACCTTTTTGCGAAGCCCTAACCAAACTCGAGAGATATATATCACTGTCGATTGACCGAGCAAAAGCCACGTCAAAGAAACCCATCGTTACTGTACTTATTGGACACAATGTCGCCACTTTCGATACACCAATACTTTTGTGAAACGCTGGGGGAAAGTTTTGTACATAATTTACAGTTTATGGACTTTTGGTTTGCTGATTCCCTGACATTATTCAAACAGCTTGTTAAATGTCAATGTCCACAGTTAAAGAATGCAGACGGTACATTCCCAAAAGCAAATCAATCGTCTCTTTACGAGGCTTTGTTTGAAGAATCATTCAATGAGCACAACTCCTTAGAAGATGTCCTTGCTCTTCAAAAAATTTTATTTTCATCCAAGCTTTTGAACTGTCAACAAGGACGATAGTTGATCATTCGCAACTTGTAACAACAAACCACGCTGTCAAGGACATGGAATATCTTGATCGTCGCTACCAAAATATGCAAACCTTCAACGAAATCATGTTTAATCCACACACAAATAACAGCTTTTTGACGAAGAATATAGCTGAGAAAATTGCAGGTGCTAGTTTGACATACAAGGATCTGAATGAAGTTTATATTAAGTACGGCAAAGATTGATTAATTGCAATTCTGTCGAAACCGCCATCGAATTCATCGCTGTCCTCGCCTAGAGTAACATGTACTAGACGAATTTTAGCAGCATTTGTTGATCACACTTCACCAAAAAAATTAAATCATAGGTATTTATAATATAATCATCATTTTCTTTGAGCATACAAGTCTTTCAAACCTCTCAACTTCAATGGCCATTCGTTTTATCACCATGCCATGTTCCAATTTCCAAACGATGTTTGCAAGTGGACACACGTGTTCTCCTTCCCCCCAAAACATGTGCGACCTCTCGCGCGAAGCCATAAATTAAAAAATATATATCAGCGAAAACTCAAAAACACTACATTGAATTTCTTGTTGTTCCTTCGGTGAATTTTTTTAAAATTTCATACTGGTTAAGATGATACTTCCGTTAACCTAAATACCAATTTTCACGAAATTAAATTGAAGGAATATTTTTTAATGTAATTTTTTTACTTTTTCGTTCATTACTCGTAAACCTATCGATTTAAATTTTTTTAAAATATAGCAAGAGAATAATTGAATCGCTACTATTTGATATGCAAATTTTCAAAAAAATTTACTGAAGCAAATCTTCAAAATGGCAAGGAAAAGGGGGAAAATGTACATCTTTGAAGATACTCTGTTACCATGGTAACAGAATTTTAGCGCAAAGTCGCGGTTTTAAAATCTTCGAAATAATATAATGCATGTTTGGTGAAAATTTCCTGCTCATATCGCGCAAAGTAATGGTTTGGCTGTCGATTTTATGCAGCAATGTAGTGTTAGTAAAAACCCTAGGGAGCCACCTTAACATAAAATTTGGTTTAATCATTTTTGAGTTCCCTTTTTGGAAGATCATGATTTTTACTTTCTTGAGGTTTACCTCCATCATTATCAGGGCCGTCGCGAGCGGGGGGGTGTGGGGGGGTGCTTCACCCCCCCAATAATTTTCGCAAGTCGGCTCCAGTCGGCAAATTGCTTCGTTACAGTTCGGCAAATTGCGAAATCGGCATTCAGCAAATTGTAAAAGTTAAGAACGAAGGCGATAAATAAAGCGATAAATTTTGGATTTAAAATAATGGTTTGTGTGGCCTAATACCATTTAAATGTATTTCTATTTTCTAGTAATACTATTGGTCTTTTATTTGTCGAAAATCGACGGGAGGCTGAAATGTGAAACCCACGTTTCCGGGCATGTTCTTCGCTCGACTACTCTTATAGCGAAGTATCTTTATCAATTATGCGCGGTTCAAAACCCAAAAGAAAAAGAATAAAACTTTAGTGTCTTGAATGTAATTCGATTTTTGACGACTATAGAAACTTTATTATTTATTTCACGAGGGAAAACGTATTAACCATAAAAG